ACCTTTTTCAAGGCACTCTTCACCGTACCAACCATTCGCTCATAGAAGCCTCCATGCCATGGTGCAGCTGGAGGATTGAACATCCATGGCACACTCATTTTGTCAGATGCCGCCTTGAACGTTGTAGCGTTGTCAGACCTGATCCGAGACGGCAAACCACGTCTCGCGACAAACTTCCGAAATGCTATCAAGAATGACTCAGTACTTAAACTATCGACCACCTCCAAGTGAACTGCTCTGGTGGTGGCACACACAAACAATGCTATCCATACCTTCGGAGATGACTCACCCCGGCGCACGTACAACGGACCAGCATAGTCGATGCCGGTAGTTGCGAACGGCCGCTCGTGAACAACTCGGTCTTCTGGCAGCGGCGGGCAGACTTCTGAGGCAGCCTTAGCCTTGTAGCAGCGGCATGTAACACATCGCTGAGTAATGTTGCGTAGCGCTCGTCGACCACCGATAATCCAGAATTTCTGATGGATGAACGACAAGACCCCTTCTACACCTTGGTGCATCCTTTCGACATGTGTTTTCTCCAACAGCAACTCGGTCAGATGATGTTTGCCTAATAGGACTGGGTGCTTGGCTCCATACGCCAACTCGCTGTGCTGAAGTCGTCCCCCGGCTCTGAGCACTCCATGCTCATCCAGAAACGGTGCAAGCTGATACACCTTCGACCCAGGCTTTTACTGGTTGACCTTGCTTGATCAGCTCAAGATCCTCAGCGAAACATTCGGCTTGAACGATGCAGTACAATACGTTGTCTGCTGCAAAATAGAGTTCAGCACGAGGCTCAGTGTGCTTCCACTGCAACATCCGAGTCACCATGCCCTGTGCCCTCGACCACTTACTAAATCGGAGCCACCATTCCTTTTCAGATTCTCGACTACAGGTGGTGGCTGACACTCGTACTTCTACACTGGACTCATCTGTAGCTGCGGTTGAGGATGCGGTGGGCCAGTCATTGGGCTCCGTGATCCAGGTTGGTCTGCCCATCCAGAACGGACTACGGATCTGCTGTGCACTACTCCCGCGCGACGGTAAATCTGCTGGGTTGTGAAGGCCCGGGCAATGGTTCCACACAATGCCGACCCCTTCTTCGATATCTCTTGGACTTGACTGACGCGGTTAGCCACAAATGTTTTCCATTTGTACGATGGATTACTGATCCAATGAACGGTAGTGAGACTGTCAGTCCAGCCATAGACTTGCGTGACGGTCACACGCAGCTCCTTCACCACAAACTCAGCGTAGCGAGCCGCTAGACATACTGCTTGTAACTCAAGGCGGGCTAACGTGGGCGGAGACACTGGTGCCACTTTGGCCTTGGCAAATGCCAAGTGTGACTGTCCATTGACGACTGCATACAAAGAACATCCAAACGCTTTCTCACTGGCATCCGCGAAGGCATGAAGCGCAATCGGCGTGTCAAGATTGCAGCAAATCCAACGTGGTATGTCAATGCTCACCACTTCGGCCAACTCTCCCCACCATTGCGCACATGCGGCTGCGATGCCATCAGGCAACTTATCATCCCAGTCGCCTCCGACTTTCCAGGCTTGCTGTAGCAGTATCTTTCCCGGCACAACTGCCGGTGCTGCTAGACCTAGCGGATCAAACACTGACGCAACACACTTAATGAGGGATCGCCCGGTCCAAACAGACGGCCTATCGGACTCGCCTAGCGCTGCTATGCTGAGCAAGTCATCACTGGTTTTCCATTTCAGACCGAGGACTTTATCTCCAGCCTCTGGATCGCACGGGATTTCGTTGCCTCGCCACTTGCGTAACTCCATGCCAGCATTTGTAAGCCCACGCACGCTGAACTCTTGCATCTTCTTGGCTTCCGAGGCATTTGAGACACTAGAGACCAACTCGTCAACGTAGAAACTCGTGAGCAAGAGATCAATACGGTCTCGCTCTTTGGGTGCAGACAGCGCCCGTACTGAGCTCCTTCAAGTGATGCTGAATCACGGCAGTAAGCATGTATGGCGAGCAATTTACGCCAAATGGCAGTTTCGTTAGCTCCGGGTTAACAGTTCATCGCTGTCACTTCGACCGGGCCACAAGAAACGCAGGTACGGACGGTCTTCGGGATTAACCGCGACCATGAAGAAAGCCTTGCGGATGTCCGCTTGCAGCGCGCTCTTATATTCACGGAACCTTAATAGCATACCTGCGAGACTCGGCAATAGCGACGGTCCAGGGTCAACCATGTCGTTCAACGACTTGCCATCTGGAGCCGTCGCCGAGGCATTGAACACCACTCTTAACTTCGTGGTTGCAGCGTTCTCGCGGAATACACCATGATGCGGTACATAGTACCCGGCATCGCTCTCACATGGCTCCAGCTCAATTGCTCCAAGCTCATGGCACTCCTTGATCAGCACATCATCATAGAGCGTACGCTTCCCATTCCGCTCCAGCTTTTCCAGAAGCCGCGTGGCGATGCCTCTAGCTTGAGCATAGTTATCCGTTGGGCGACGCTCATTTCGCCACAAGAGACCCACTTGGTACCCGCTGCCCTGGCGACATAGCGGGAAAGATGGCAAGTGCTGATGTTGTTCCGGAGGTTCATCCAACTGCCATAGTTTGTCGATGTGGGCTGTGACACATGACACGGTCACCGGCTGACTGTCTCGACTGGGTGCAGACGCTGGACCAGATATTACACTACCGATCTCTGTGTTCCACACCGTCTCACCATTAACTTCCTTCTTGCTGTGCAGTACCGCGTTGATATAGTCTGCACCAATCAGCATGTGTATTTCGTCTGATGTCTCTTGTTGAGGCTTGTCACTCAGCTCTACTCCCCAACTGTGCCACTGCGCAATGGTCTGCGGACTTGCGCACTTCAGGTCCAGCTCTAGCGTTGGTTTCACGAACGCGCGTACCAGAATGCTAGCGGAGCTACCCTGCATCGTGATGGCGTACTTATCCATGCGCTGTTGGGTTGGTTCCGCGCCGAGCGGCTTCACCTCTACATTTTCAACCCCAACGTGTTCTGCATCGATTGCTGACACCAACGCTGCAGTCACAAATGACGCCTCAGCACCCGAGTCCAGGAACACGCGAACCTTCGCCTTTCGATTTCTTCCCTCAACTCGTGCCACTCCGGTCATCAGCCGCACACCTGGCGAGTGTAGACAGCACGATCCAACATTCTTCTCCGTTACTATCTCAGTCGGTTTCTCCCGGCTGTAACCTGCTCTATCCAACACATCATGTATTAGCAGATGGTGCTTCCTCTGGCATTTCGTGCACCTCGAGCCTGACCGACATTCCCTGGCCATATGGCCATACATGAGGCAGTTCCAGCAGAGTCTCTCTCGCTGCAGAAAAACCTTTCTCCCTTCCCGTGGCAGCGACTTTAGCTGCTTCTCTGCATCTGCGACCGATATCACCATGCACTGCGCCGACGCAGTGGGCCTTGGCACGGATCGTTCTACTGGCTTCCTGGCAGTATCACCCTGTCGTCCGTGCGCCACCTGGTAAGACGCGCCGTGCTCCTGTACCTGGCGCAGAGACATCCCGTAGCACTGCCGTTCGACCAGGTACGTCTTCATCTCAGGTCCGCATTGATCCAAGATTACCTGCTTTGCCATTGCTTGCAGCACAGGGGCCATTTTACCGATATTGGCGCTATACTTGGTGTCCACCTCGCTATCTTCCGTCATAGCGAGTGTGGCCCACACCTCTACCTCTCAGCAAACACGGACAACGTATTGGTGAAAAGACTCATCTGACCGCTGCTTGCCTGTCAGCAATGTCTTCCACGCTTTCAGCTTCCAAATTATGTAGCTGTTCTGGTTCCTCTGCCATGCTCGCTTGTATCCTGGCATGGTCGCCAAATGTTCTGAACCCTCTGAGATTCTCTAAATTGTCAGGATCGAACGACCACACGGCACAAGGACAACTCTTTTCTCTTCCACAGTATATTTCACTTCATCGAATAATTAACAACTAAGGGTGCGTTCTTAAATCCTCTCGGAAAAGTTCGAGAGCTGTTCTTATATCCTCTCCGACTTTTAGGAGGCTCTCCAAAGCTCTCCAAGCTTCAGAGGTGGTTGAAACTTGGAGATTCCCGCGGTTTGGGATCAGCGCATGCGAACTACGACTAAAAGCCACGTATTCATCATGAGTGTACGCATTTCCCTTTTGCATACGCACATACATTCATCACTCAAGATCGCAGCCCCTTTGACGCTTCATTTTGCTTGACATGTGCACAATATCTCCGAATTCTTCGAGACCCGTTCTTGAGTAATCCCAGTTTCTTCGACTTCTCTTTTCTTCTTCTAGAAGCTAGAGAATATAAGAACGCACCCTAACACTAGTAACACCAGCTACTTATAGCATGCAAAACAGCGTACATGCAAAAACATACGCATATAAAACGGGACATAACAGCGTATACAGTAAAAACGCACACAGCGCATATAGCGTACCGTAGTTCCGCGCATATAAGCCCACAGGCCTATATCCGGATATAAGCCCACCTCCGTTTATAGGCCCATGGGCTAATAAACAGACCCAAACACCGTTACGGAACCGATAGTACAGCATGTCAGTGCAGACTACATTACCAGTACCGGTACCTACGGAAGGCGGACAACCGCGCACGGACTTGTACTTTTTCGCGTGCCAGCTGCTTTCAAAATTCGAATTTAGGCCCAGGGCTAAAAAACGAACCATTATTACTGATTTTTTTCCCGGAAAATGCATTATTTCGTATAAATATATATTCATGCACTCTGCCACGCCGCCCAACCCAGGCCCTGGAACGTGTCACGATGCAGCCGGTGCGGTGGATCTGTGAGGGCTGCCAGTGCCAACCAATGCCTGATCAGGCATTCAAGTTCTGCTGCACGGCGCGCACTCTCGTTGGCTCAATCCTACTGAACCTGGCAGCTGGCAACACTCACTTGAGATGCCTGTGTCAGAAAAGAGCCGCAGTATGGTTATAGTTATAGTCAAGTATTCCGTACTCTAAGGGGTGACGTGGAGACAACCTGAGAGATTTATTAATGTTAGATCAATGAATAGTATTGCAGTGAGGTGGACATTGAACGTAACAAAAGTAATACCATGCTGTAGCACGTCTCCAATGCCCAATCTACAAAATTATAATAAAAACTCATGGTTAAATGTAAAAGTTTCCAAATTGATTTCATGAGATACTTCTCAGAGAAAAGCATCCCAACAATGATAGCTAGGCAGGGTGGCCACATTTTCTTGTGGAATTCTAGAAGTGAAATGATAAAATCCCTAATGAATGCAGCAGGTTAAGCCTTAGCTTTGTCTAGAATTGCTCTATAAAAGAGGTAAATACCGGTATCTAAATATATGCGGCAATTCGATATTGTGCAAAGGGTGCGCTTGCGGTTAGCTCTTGACTGAGTGAAGGTTGTATGAAGCAGGCACACACTTGTTCATGATTGTCTTTCTGCAGAGGAACCACATGTAAGTCGCCTCTTACAAAACAGAAATGTGTCATGAAATCCTTCAATGTCTTCAAAAATCTCGCATACGTAAATCGTGTCAATCGTAAAGCTGTTGCATGGTTCTTGCTGCTCACATGCACTGTTTCTGGTAATAAATCAAGAGGTTGGGTGTTGGCAATGAGGGCAAATGAAGGCTAATAGCAAACTAGATACTGTATGTTAGTTGTGAGTCAGTGTGCTTACACGTGAGTGCAATTGGTCAACTGCTTCGGGAGTAACGTTATTGTGTGTAGCACAGTGGTCAGGTAGCTATATCATGGGAATAGAGCTGTGCCCACACAGACTACCATCGGGATCAGTAGACCGAACATAGACACGACTTGGCCACTGCCACCACTGTCATTATTGCCGCCTCCCTGTCCATCTCTTGAACCTGAAATGATGGAAAGAAGAGAATAATTATGGACCACAGCAATTGCTCATGGTCAAAACTGTAGGCACAATCGTATGCGCAATTGTAATTGTACGTGCAATGTATTCCCCAGTGATTATAGAGGGGTAACAAGGATTTAAGTTGTGTCCAGGGTCAAATTGGATCTGTCCAATATCCGTGCGTGCTCCAACAACTTCTCTATGTGGAGGATCTATTTCGTGGATCGATGGGCAAGTACGTCTTTCCAAGCAGCATTGTGTTGTAAAGTATGTTGACCAGCCATCTTACCTGCATCGCACCCAGCGTTAGGATTCTGGCGTCCCACGATGCCTTGAAAGCAGTAGCAGTCGGTTGAGCAGAAGGATCTTTCCAGTTCAGTCTCCCGTATATCTCGGGTACACCACTCACAACCGACAGATGCTCGACAAGACCTGCATTACGTACACAAAATGAGACTCAGGGGTTTAGCAAACCAAATTTAGGTTGGACGACCAGGGTTTAAATGATCCAGAAGTTGTTGGTTTCGGACGTGCCACTATATACACTGTACATTGTACATTATTATTATTATTATTATTGCAAATAACGCTGAGTAATTACACGAATGCATAAAAACCAGCATTTGCTTCCAGGAAGGATTCACAAACATAAGACAAAAACACCATTGGCTAACGCAAACCTGCTCTGATTGCACTCTTTCCCTGACTTTGAGTCACACCCCTTAAGGTCTCTGTTGTAATGTATAGTTTCAGTGTGCTTTAAGTCGTGCTCAACTATACGTTACACTCCCCTTCTTTGACCTTTGTATTCGAAGTAGAAAGGTACAACTTATATTCGGGGAAATACCATACACGTGGCCGGAAATTGAACACCCTCGTCTGCACATCTTCTTATCCCTTCTATAAAAATAGCTAAAAATCAGTGCGGTACTTGGTCCGCCCAGTTAAAATTGGCGCTTATCTTCACACTTGTCTCAGGAAAGAAATACGAATATTTGAAGCAAGCCACGATCACAAAGCACTATATACATGATTATTTACATGTCAGTAAGCAACTCAGTCGAAAATTCAAGCAAGTTACACATCCTCCTCGCCACTATCGTCGCTGGGAGGAAGAGCTCAAAACGTACGATCCGGACAGTTGCTGCACAGGTCGTTTCATAGCTTGTTCCACTTCTCCTCGTCTCGAATCACGCTCAAAGGCAGTGCGTGCCTGTCACCTTCCCATCAGAAGCTGAGTGAGACTGCCCGCATGTTGACTGTAAGTGTTATCCCCGTTCGTCACAACAATGCGTCTTTGTTTCAGACAAAAAAGGCAATGCCATATCAGTGTCCTTTTTTCAAATCGCCTCTTGCGCTTGTCGTACTTGCTGATCAGCACCCGTAGACCCGGGTGCTCGAATCAGAAACGATTTGACAGGTGTGCAATTTCTCATCTGTAAATCTCAACAATGTCAGAATATACTTTTGGAGAGGCGATGGAACAGGGAAGAGAGTCTGGCTTGACCCACCTAGCAGGAATTCAGAACCTGGGTGCGCTACAACACAAGCTACAGCACGCAGTAAAATAGTCGTATTTCCTTCGGATTTTTTACTTGAAAATAATTAATTGGGTGCTCGAATCAGAAACAGCAAACTCGTCAGATCGTCTCCGATTCAAGCACACGGGTCTACCATCGCCTACGCTTGGTATGGCAGTTGAGGGCAGGGAGTAGTAACTTACTACTTCGTTTTTGAGAGCAAGATGGTCAGTGGAGCCGCAGATTCAGCAGGTCTTTGGCAGCACCGTACCGTGGACCCACATCCTCGAATCAAGGACCCAACAAAAAGTGGGTCGCGAGTATTTCAAAAGCCGTTTACCTGTTTACCGGGCAGCGCTGAAATTTGGCATACCGTTAGCGGGCCGTATGTTGATGGTATTTGTGAAAACTAAACGAAATCGGAACAAGTTTAGGTACAATTTCAGGGTGTTTCTGTTTTGGTACCCTGTGTCTCATTTGAGCACCCGGGTCTACCCACGCGAGCCGCTGGTGCTTGAAGATCTACATGCAGCGCAGTGATAGCTTCCGCTTGATGTAGCACCTCAGTGACCTGTGCGTACTGCACCTACAACGCCGTGCACCAGGCTTTTCGGCTAGTTTCCTGAAAGTCCTTTGCACGGGTGTTTCTCTCAGGACTTGGTGTTTTCTTTGATTAGCTCCTTTCAGTGGCGGGTTTAGGGGGGGGGGCGCGGGGGGGCGCGCGCCCCCCCCTCAAAAATTTCGACCTAGGTTTCGAAAAATAATACAGGGCGCGCGCCGCGTCGAGCTAGACTAGGCTCGGGGCGCGCGTGGCCTGAAACGATTGTCCAAAAGCGGTTGCACGGTGCGCGCATGCGGTGCTCGAGCTGGTGTTGATTGTACACACTACAGACTAGTACAGTACAGTCTTTTGAGTACGAGTCTACGTACAGTGAGCATGCACGGCTACAGAAACACGGTGACCTGACTGTGTACTGTTGTACAGTGTGATCCCTGCTGGGACGCGCTCGACGCGTCTTCAACGGTACAAACATCGAAGAAAAGTCTTCGATCGAGTCAACCAAAACACGATTCGAATGCCGAGGGCTCAGGCGATCATCCTCGTTCGAATCGTGTTTTGGTTAACTCGAAGGCTTTTCTTCGATGTCTCAGGGACATCCCAAAAGGCCAAGCTCTAGCCAGCAGAGCCTGGAATTTTTGTAAAGCGTTCCTGTGGCGGCGCAACTCCTGCTGCCGCTCCAACAGGAAACAGTGGGAGTGATGAAGTCGCTGTTATTCCAGTTGAACTTTCGGAGCGGACTGACAGTCACACTCCACCAGACGTGGAAGAACCTGTTGTCAGCGAGCAGCCAGAACATGAAGAACAGCGCACAGTGACAAGTACCGCTGCCTATGTAAAGGATGCTTTGAGAGCGGTGAGAAATTGTTGGACTCGCATAAATAATTGCAGTTGATTCGCTCACATAACGGCAAATTTGAAGTTTACAATGTACATTGTTGCTGCGAGTACAGAAATACTGCTCGTGGTGTGTGAGATTTACGGCTTGTTGTTGTTGTTGTTGTTGTTGTTGTTGTTGTTGTTTATTTTACTTCACCAAATGCACAGGCAGAGACGCCTTCTCACCTGCCCATAGGACAGGTTCTCACAGAATGATATGCAAGGGAAAACAAGAAATGATAATAATAATAATATAAGACAGAAAGGACCAAAAGAAGAAAGGGAAAAATTTGTATGAAGAACAATTTCATGGAGTCAGAAATAGAAAGACAATAATTTCATGGAGTCAAAGAATAGAAAGACAATCTCATGGAGTAAGGAACACGTGGTTGATTTTATAGACATGCATGCACAAATGATTGATAGATGAGAAGGTTGGAATTTATGGCAGATAATAAAAGTTTAACGAGGATATTCACAAAGTAAGTATAGCAATGGGAGAAAGAGTTTTTCGGAAGGGACCAGGGACACGTATCACTCTAAAATCAGAGGGGAGAGCGTTCCAGAGAATGCTTCCCCAAACCATCATGCTCGATCGTCCCTCAAGCCCACGAAGAAAGGGAACTTGAAGCAAGGTCGACACTTGTCCCCATGTGGTGCGCTGATCCTCCGGAACTGTCTCTGGCCCTGGGGCCGTTCGGGTGAATAACTGTTGAAGAAGGGGGCTACAGGAGGAGCTTCCTGATATCGGTTTTCAAAATGGCTGACCTGGGACAGTAGCATGATGTCATCTACCCCCACCCCATCCCGCCTTGATCCCGGCCGCAACCCCCCCTCAGCCAAATCCTGGACACGCCACTGCCTTTGCCCTGTCCTCTGTGAGCTTCAAAGTGTGTCCGCCGGATTGGTCTCACTTACTGGAGATATCGACATGAGCTGCAGTTTCTTCGTCAGCGATTTGCTGGTGATAGCCCTTCACTAGGCACTGTACTGTCAAGCACTGAAAATCAAGCTCGCGAAGCGCTTTTTCAGCTTTTCTATACCTCCCCGGGGTAAACAATCCTTGCCATCAGACAGCTGGAAGTAGACAGAAACTGTATTCTCCATCGCTCTGAAATGCGAACATCCTGACCTATTTTACGGACTCGAGCGGAGGTTGCAGTGTTTTCTTGCGCTGACGGAAGTGTTCGTCGGCGGCAGCTCCGTCAAAAAGACTCAAACGAACCGATCGCAACTTCTGTGATGGTTTGTGCTGCCATGTCGTCGGATGCAATGGTCAAGGGTTATGTTCGGATGGTGAATCGGTGGTTCCATGCCGTGTGGCACAGGCAGAACACCAAAAAACCAAGTGAGAAGATAAGCGCCAAGTACAGGTCGTCCCCCGTTAATACGAGTCCGGTTAGTACATAAACCCCGTTAGTACATAAGAAATCTCAAGTCCCGGACGAAACGTGGTCACTTCCATACAAATTTTGTCGGTTAGTACATAAACCCCGTTAGTACATAACATTTCTCCATACCCGCATGCCACCTACCTCAATAGTACATAATTTGTTGGTCTTTTGGCCTTCCAGTGGAGGCACGTCGTGTTCTAGTTTCTACTTGTGGACACAATTTGCTCAGAAATCAGAGCGCACATCACAAACCGACAAAGCTCTGTTTTTTTTTCGAGTGACTGTACAGGCGCGGCTGGGCATGTAATGTATCATGTAGAATCTTCGCTGACTGATGTGACCGTTATAACTAGGGCTCAAACGATTAGTCCGATTAACCGGTTGCAGACCGGTTACGAAGAATTAACGGTTAACCGATAAAGATAACGGTTACGCAGTAACTTTTCAGTCAATTTTTCAAGTATCAGGTCGTTGCAAAGTGTGCACTTTCGCGGGCTGTCGCACGCGTACGCAATTTCTGGGCTGTCAACTCGGTCATATCTGGTCTCTTGGTGTGAGAGTATGTATGAATGAGCATGCAAGATCAAATGTACACGTGTGCGTTGTACTGAATAGGGTACTTTTTTTGAATGAGTATAGTCAAATATACGGTTAAAAAAGAGTCCGCAGGATTGCCGTGGCTTATAGGTTATAACCGGTTAACCGACCGTTAGCTTAGCAGTTAACCGTCAGGGGTAAAACCGTGACCGTTTGAGCCCTAGTTATAACATAATTTTTATGTTATATCGAGGGAATCAAGAATATCTCGCTCCCTAGTCATGGCAGCAGGAAACACTCAGAAAAGTTGAAAAAAGTGAAAAATTCTGGTATACAAGCAAGTTATGTACACTTTCGTTTAGTACATAAACCCCGTTAATACATAACATTTGTCAAGTCCCAGAGATTATGTATTAACGAGGGACGACCTGTACTAGTTGTGGGGCATTACACAGTTGTGTACACTACATGTGGGCCTATGCAGGTAAGTCTGTCCGCACACAGTGCTTTTGGAGGGCATGCATGATAGGGCACGGCCCTGAATTTATACCGCCGCCTGTGAGTCCACTCTGTCTTTCCTAGGGTCAATCATGTGCTACAAACATCAGACACGTTTGTTGGTTCAATCATGGGCGGCAATAATAAAGCAGGTGTGAGACGTCTTCCGTACCCGGATCTGGAAATGGTGGCGCATGGATTGTCGGAACACTTGCTCAGTCCTGATACTGATCCTGCCTTGCGAGGCACTACAGGCAGTGCGAAGATTTCTGCTGGGCACACATTGTATCTGTGGGCGCACGCGTGCGCACACACACACGCACACACACACACGCACACACAGGACATTCGGCGTACAAGAAGCAGTGAAGGGATTTGAAGAGATTTCAGAAGACAAACATGGGCATGAAGAAGAAACACTCCTGGTGTACAATGTTAATTTTCATTCAGATCCACATCAATACAAGTACAAATAGTAACCAGCGGGCGAGCGTCATGTGTCTCCGTGGATCCCGCAGCCTCAAGGCCTCCGTCGACTCTACCACCCCTGCTTCTCGTGTTGCTGCGGAGGCAGTGATTCCAGGGCACTAGCTCTTGCAGTGTGACTTGGCATTCGTGTGATCTAGCAGCGATTTTCATTTACACTTTTGTTATTAGTTTGCTTCACACCTTCTATCAGTCATTACGTATTATTTATAATACAGTGACAGTACCTGGCGTGGGCCATCCCCTGGATTATCAAAATGGGTGCTTTATCATTTTTCTGTTGTTTTTACACTTCTTCGTGCTTTGTTAACTACCTACTGGCTTGACTCTAAAAAAAATTTAAAAAAAGATCTGCGACTCTACGAGTAGATCTACGAGCTATCAAAAAAAATCATTGTAACCAGGTAGTAGTAGTAGTACCAAGGCCAAGGGCATGTTCGATTGGTAGGATCGGAATCCCGATCCCCGGATCCACTGGATTCGCACCCTTTCGATTGGTCGAATCCGGATCCGGATCCTTCGGATTTGGATCCGGTCAACCCACCTAGGGGAGCAGGGTTGGCCGGATCCAACGGATCCAAATGTGACTTTTGTGCGTATATGGCGGGTAAAAATCATTTTTGTACACATTGTGGTACGTACACGTGGATTGAGATAGAGTTTGTTGACTTTTTGTACGATGTGTGCGATGAGTACGACTTTCACCCTTTTGGGTGACTTGTGAGTAGGCTTGTCCACAAAATGTTTTCAATTATTTTTGAATTTTGGTTGGATTTTCGCACTTTGAATTTTTTTGAAATTTTGGCCCCATCAGGATTGAATTTTGGCCGTTTTGGAGAACGACAGTGATGTCACATCCGGAGAGTACATGTGCTGCTCATTATATTACCAAGTTTGACATGTGAAAACAGTACTTTCAAATACACACCTTTGACCTTTTGACACCCATCCCCGAATTTGGAAGCACACAGACACACATGATAAAAGAAGTTTGTGGATTTATTTTAATTTTTTGCTTTTTTTGGAACTATTGGGTACGAGTACTGTAAAAACCATGGCAACAGATCGAATTTGTTCTGCATTTTGGGGGATTTTTGAATTTTCTTAAAACATTTTGACTGTTTTTTCGCTTTTTAAATTTCAATTTTGGACAAAATAATTCGCATGATGTGGCCACCCTTACTTGTGAGCGCCATTCTATTACTTCGTCAACATGCCAACAGTCAAGGTCCGAAATAAAGTGTTCAGTTGACTCTGAAGGATCCGACGGATCTGAGATCGGGATCCCGATCCTTACCAATCCAACATGCCCCAAGAGTACATAACCCCCAAGAGTGTGCAACTGCCTGCACAACCTCTATGCTGTGCTGCGACGGCAGAACTTCACATCACGTGACATGGTTCAAAAGGTTACGCTGGCAAACAGTGCAAAGTGACCACAAGAGAGTTCAGCCCAAAGCTGGCTTGCGTACGTATAGGATATTACCCAAGTACGAGGGTGTTACCTCCCGAATATCATCCCGACTGCGTAGCAGGAGGGATGATATGAGGGTACGGTAACACCCGAGTACGCGGGTCAATATCCTACTTATCCCAGGTACATCTACGCATTTTGGGGATCGACGCAACTGCGTTCTGAATACAATTACCAAGGTACAGCTATGCCAAAAACAAGATGCTGCCTTTCTTTTCAATCCAGTCGAGGTTTGAGAGCGATGGAGCTCGGGAGACAAGTTGCATTTTAGTAGTTGGACTAGAGAATTGACGAAGATTGCACTGTTATGATACATAGTCATTTGATTCAAAGTAAGGGCCATACTTCAAGTCACGGCGAGATACAACGTCATTATGGATGCTGGTGCTGACTTCCTCGTCATTGGATCGGCGTGGAACTAACTTTCAACGGTTTGGGATCCTTGCTGAACACTGTCCGTGCAGGCAGTAACCACATTGTACATATCGTCGGACATTGGCACCAGTGAGTAAAGTGCATTTCGTTGTATCAAGACTCTTGGTTGTATCACTATCGGCCACTATGCAATCAGAAGAACGTTGATCTTCTTATATTATAGGCATACTGGATTTGTAGCAGCATCTACGTTTTAGATTGTTCTTGTGGTAATCGTACTGGATACAATGTCATGATAATCACTGCGGGTCGCATCTTGCATCCATATCTTATCTACATCACACATGGATTGCTGAGCTCTTCTTCTTTCACACTGTTGAATATTCTGTACACGATTTTTCCTCTCACTTTCACGTCTTGTACTTTTCGAGTTGTTACAGTATCTCTCCTTGCAATTAGTAATTTTCACTCGGATGGTGATACTTTGTGTACTTTTCGAGTTTACAAAGAGTGAATGAGAACAGATGCACTTCGAAGTCTCCTTTGTGTCGTAATGTTGAGTTGAATAGTGATTGGAGTTCGTTGTTTGTTTGTGTGTGTGGAATCTGGTTTTGGACGTAGTCACGGAGGTAAGTTCTCTCCGTTCACTTTTACTGTACCGACGGTGCACTCTGCATTTGCATGCTCCCACCCTCTCACGGTTCTGTGTAGTGCATTTTGTCGCTGGGTTCTGATCGAAAGGACTCCAGTGGCAAGATGCATTGCATCGAATCGAGAGGGGGTGGGGGGCATGCCAATGCAGGGTGCACCGTAGTAGGTACGGTAAAAGTGAACCCAGTTAATAATGAATATCATCCCGCGCGGGATTGTATTGGCTATTATTTCCCGGTCAGCAAGGCTCCTGATTGGCTGAAACAGGCCTATAGTACCGTACCATGGGATAAAACCCTGTATCTATCATGCACAGAGTGCAAATAATGTGTACGGGTTCATCACGTGATGTGAAGTTCTGCCGTCGCAGACCCCATAGCTGGAGTTGCACACTCTTGGGGGTTATGTACTCTTGCTAGTACATGTTTGATGGGCAACAGCTGCAATCCTGTACTTACTGGCGTGATTGTTCAGGAAAGGAGTTGTTGCATGCAGAGACGGGCAGGTCAACTGTGCATGGGCATTCACAGGTCTGCACTGTTACTGAAGAACACCGACCGAGCCCGTTGAACTGGAGAGGGGAGAGACACACACACACAGAGTGAGCAAGTGTGTGTGTGTGTGTGTGTGTGTGTGTGTGTGTGTGTGTGTGTGTGTGTATTGCGAAAGACGGTTCTCAAGGCCACAGGACTTGCAACGCCATGCCAAATATTGTTGACTTTGCGATTTCTCTCTCTTCTCTTCTCTCTTCTTGTCGTTGTCTCCCGCTTCTGGGAGCGGCGTGGCCCGATAGGGTAGCTGTACATAGTAGTAGTAGTAGTAGTAGTAGTAGTAGTAGTAGTGTGTGTGTGTGTGTGTGTGTGTGTGAGAGAGAGAGAGAGAGAGAGAGAGAGAGAGAGAGAGAGAGAGAGAGAGAGAGAGAGAGAGAGAGAGAGAGAGAGAGAGAGAGAGAGAGAGGGAGGGAGGGAGGGAGGGAGGGAGGGAGGGAGGGAGGGAGGGAGGGAGAGAGAGAGAGAGTAATTGTGGACTACCTCTTCAGCATGTCCCCAGTGTTACTTGCCAGTTACAAGTAGCACAGGAATTAGGTACTAAATACATGTACTACTATCGCACAGTGCATGGCTGAACGATAACCTGCTCAAGTTATCCTACAGTATTGGCATTACCAGGTATGCACGAGCTGCAGACGGGCACGCTATAATCACCTGTACATGTACTTACCGTTGGGCAAGAGCATGCTGACTGGTATAGTGTGCCATCCTTACGACTACAGCTGCTGCTGCTCAAGAAGCCTACGTACACATTGGAGTTATCAACTTGCTCAAACTGTACAGACACAAACGCACGCACACACACACACACACACACACACACACACACACACACACACACACACACACATACACACAATGGATCGCTCAAGCATTCTCAACTCGAAGGTCGAGCCATACACTGACAATACCCTAAAACGCATTGTCGTTCGGTGTTTTGACCTGGGACCATCTGAGACGATCTGGCTAACTCTTGTACAAGCCTATGTGAGAGTTGGGCTTATTCAACTAGTACTTGGGGCATTCAAACCAATTCCTTTAAATGTTCAATGCACGTCAGTATGGAAACCAGGCGTATGTTGCCGATTGTCTGTCTTAACCAGGCTTTTATACACAGCAGTACGGTATCCATGTTCAAATCACACACAATCCCATTCCTGCCACGTCACACAGCCTTGCTTTGGGCGTTGATCAATGCATTCCTGCAACATACAAGTGGAGGCATACATGCATACACGCATGAAGAGAACACGCACACACACACTTGTGCAGCTGATGCCAGAGTACTGTACACATGTATAGTACAGTGTAGTACTTAGTTGCGGATAACTACTTGGTATATTACCTGATAGGATACTGTGCTGGAGAAGCAATCAGCCGTGCTGGAGAAGGAGGTGGCACCACCAGGCAGCACCATCTATACGTCCATTGACAAAACACCAGCAGAGCAAAATCTATTCATTAAAAAAATTCACGGCTCGTGTTAGACTCGGCCAGAGACCGAGTTTTCCGCATCCGCAGGAATGCCACCACCCTTCAGGGATCAAGGCAGGAACGCCACCACCCTTCAAGGATCAAGGCAGGAACTCCACCACCCTTCAAGGATCAAGGCAGGAACGCCACCACCCTTCAAGGATCAAGGCAGGAACGCCACCACCCTTCAAGGATCAAGGCAGGAACTCCACCACCCTTCAAGGATCATCCATTCATTGAATGCAAACAATTCACAACCGTACACACTAGAGAGGTTCAGTGATTCGTTGTCAACTCGTAAACGAAACGAGATCGATTTCGTTTTGTATTCGGCTCGCGCAGTGCCCAAAATAAGTTCAGTGACTCGTGCACGAGAAGACAGCGAGTCGCATCATGGTTGTCATGGTAAATATGGCAGAGAGAAAATTTGAAAGATCTTTCCGCAAAATTTCTTCCCGCAAAGACTTCTTAATACAAACGCGCGAACGTTCGAACGTCAGGTCAGCACATCATTAAGAACTAACTGTTCCGACCGTGACAGGGCGTTGCCGATGTCCTGCCAAGCCTTATTCCCTTGCGGTAAGGCAAAGACGTTTTCATGTCCGGAGGACAAGATCAAGTTCAGCAACTTGATGTCATCTAAGACTGCAAGTTTCCGAATTCTTCTGCATTCTACAGGAGTTGCTCCAGAGGGAGACACGGGGGGTGGAGGGGGACGTTGGGGGAGCCTGCATTTCACTTGACATTGCGGAAAAAGGAAAGGAAAAATTCGTACCAAACACAACGAAAGTGAAAACGAAAGAATCGATAATCAACAAAGATGAAAAATTTCAAAAAAGTCAAAAAGTGTTCACACTTTCTGGGGCAGATCGATCTCGGAGCTGCATACGAATCAGACAGGCCGGATTCGTAAAAACGAATCTTCTGAACGAGATGTCAACGAGACTCTAACCCGGACCGGGTGTCAGCACTCGTTTCGTTCATGAAAAACGAGGCACTGAACCTCTCTATTGTCTTACTTTTCCTGGAGCAGATATTTGTCATGTATGTGGTGAACAACTGTGCAGGCCATTCTGACTGACATTGATGTACAATGTGGCACATACACTCACACATAGCATTATACTGGACAGCAGCACATACACTAGTGTATACTGTACATGTATTTCAATATGACACAATAGCCATGGTCAGCTCCAGTGACCTACCTTGTATGTAACGTGTCGACTGAAGGCATCATAGCGTGCACAGCTCTGCTTCTGTAGCACCCCCTTGAGGAGAAGATCTCTCATGACAAACGGCTCCTGCAGCAGAAAATAGGATACGTGCATAGGCACTCCAGTACATGAGCCAATCTCAAGCCATCAGTGGCAGAGCATCTACATAATAGTGCACAGCTCTTTGATATATAGTTGTGCTTGGTGCAATCCGATCCAAAGTGAAAAACTGGCGCCCTGGACCAGTTCCGATGACATCACTGTACTTGTGCATGTGTACGTCGAGCTGCATTCGTACCACTTTCCACTTCCACGGCATTCGTACCACTTCCACGGCATTCGTACCACTTCCACGGCATTCGTACCACTTCCATTCGTACCACTTTCCACGGCGTCAGGGGCCATACAAGTTGAGGGTGCAAATATTCGCACTTTGGGTCGGACTGCACCAAGCACAACTGTACTTGGTGAGGTGTGACACAGTAGAATTTTTCCTCTGTCCACACAGTGCTAAATACAGTAAAACCTGGCAGGCAACCACTCAGACACCTGTCCGAAAAGAACATTGCAAGCAGGACCAAGGGATGCTATTTCCAGTCAAATGACGGACCCTGGGTAAGGAGACCACCTGGTAGCTGAGACCACGTTTTGAAGGTCCCTTGAGCGGTCGTCTTAGACCAGTTTCACTGTACCGCAATGGGCAGAGCTTCCTTACAATAGCTTTGTGATAATTATAGATGTGATATGGATGTGATGTAGATGGAGCTCCTGACTAGTACATTGTTCCATTGTCTTTTTACCAAGACAGTGGTCTGAGGACAAATTGTCCGGATTCGACATAAAACTGTGCCGTAGTGGAAATTCTGTTGGTTCTCTCTTCTACCTCGAAGTACACGCATGCACACACTGCGCACGTGTGCACACACACACACACACGCACACACACATACACGCACGCACACACACACAAAGACAACCCTGGACGTACCTTGTGGCCAAGATGCACCCATTCTGGACTCCTGGCATCGGTGAGAAAGTCTGGGTGGAATACTAAGTAACCTGAAGAGTCAATGATTATGTACCTGCAGGTGCAAAACAACATATCAATATGGGATATGCCAACCAGTACAATACACAGAAGACAAGAAGATTATTTTGTAACTCTGAGCTTCACGACAAAACGATCATCAGACTGAAAAGAGAACAGTGCTGGCATCATTTCCAACTACCACCAGTGCCCCATGAAATCACACACGCAAACAAAAACAATAGCGCGAAAAACGAACTAATTCACACCTATTCACCTTTCCCCAATGAGTGTTTTGTTCTAGGTAGCCATCGCAAGGAGGCCTGTACAGTCATGTAGTTTCTCTTCCTGCTCTCCAAGTATCCTGTGCAGTCACTGACTTCGTTCACAAGATGTTTGAGCTCCCTGCCACCTGGAAATACTGGGCGCCAGTGAGCTGATGGAAACAGGACTGCATCACGACTGAGCTAAACCACTGACCTCAATCCAGCCCTAGGCGGATAGACTCTCTGCAGCACTTCGTCCAGATACCCCAGCGTGAAGTCCACAGCCATCACTGCTCCGACTGCTGATATGCTTGACCTGCATGCACAGGATACGTAATAACGCCGTGTTTACATGTCCGGAGCAGTACATTGTACACAGCCACACAAGCCGGTTATTTATTTTGGCCTGAATATCAGACAAACAATACCAACTATTCGCCTCATAGTTTTGCTGGGTAAGAGAACACCGTGGAAATAGCACAAATACTAGAATACTAACCAAGCCTACAGCTGATCTACTACAGCATGACCATAGAGCATAAACGTCTGCGTGCACACTGACGCATGCACTCTGAAAGTCTCTCTGTGTCTGAAGTACTACCATGGGAACATGGCTACGTGAGTAGTGGTGTAGAACTCACTGATTGACAGATTGAGTGATTGTAGTTCCCAGCGTCACCACAAATCCAGCGCCGAACGCATCCAGATAAGGAGAGGAGAGGATCAGTTGTCCTGGATTGTTGATGGACCGAGTAAACCTGTACATACACACAGGGAAAATGCCTGCATATAAAGTGCCTACGTGCATAGACATGTGCATGCAGGGAAAGTACCCACGTGTATAGACACATGGAGGGAAAGACCATACCGGCAGTCATATACCGTATTTTCCGGAGTATAAGCCACACTTCAAACACCAGTAATTCTCTCAAAACAAGTGAACCAGTGATTGCCGGTACTTACCAGCCACGTTTCAAATGATCATAAGAGGTCGGTAGTTGCGTTCCAGGAATGATGCGAAACACACCACCAATGGTTCCGATGTATCTGGGGAGCAAGGAGAGGTGAAATCAGAAGAGGAAACATTCTCTCAATGATGGTATTTCCAGCTGTGCATCACATTTGCGCTCCACAATATCAGTCAAGAGTCCATAGGCACTGGAATATCTCAAAAGCAAATGATGTGATGCTAAGCAAATGACGTACCGTATTTTTCGGAGTATAGTGCGCGCCTTTGTATAACGCGCACCCCCAATCTTCATTGGGGGTGCGCACTTCAATCTTCATTGAAGTACATGCATTTCATATTCGGAGCATAGTGCGCACCTGCGATTTAGGGCCTAAAATAGCACATCTAAAGTGCGCACTATACTCCGGAAAATACGGTAATGCTTCCAGGAGATCTATGAGCTCCTACAATGTAGTTCAGCAGGTGGCCGCATGCACCCTCTGGAGCCATACAACGTATGACAGCGCTACGCGTACCTCCACACAACAGACTGCGTGTAATCAATTGATGCTAATTTCCACACAGAGTCAAGCAGAGCTGTCAGGCGTACATAATCCTTCACTGTGACCTGTTGCAGGCGGGAAAAGAAGAGGAAAGAAGTATGGTGCCAAAAGTTTGAAAGAGTCACCCATAATGCGGGAGAGAGGTAAACCCTACTGCAGGTGAGATAGACCCTACTGCAGGTGAGATAGACCCTACTGCAGGTGAGATAGACCCTACCGAGAGAGATAGACCCTACTGCAGGTGAGATAGACCCTACTGCAGGTGAGATAGACCCTACTGAGAGAGATAGACCCTACTGCAGGTGAGATAGACCCTACTGCAGGTGAGCTAGACCCTACTGCAGGTGAGCTAGACCCTACTGAGAGAGATAGACCCTACTGCAGGTGAGATAGACCCTACTGCAGGTGCACTTGTCAATACAAGTATACGTCAAGCCGAGCGCATCAGTAATCTTAATGCACTGTGTGCACTGTATAGTAGTCCATTTGAAGCTTGGTCGTTGGAGAACCGTACCCAGCCGATTGGTGTATTGCAGTGCCTTTAATCAATGATTGGTGTATTGCAGTGCCTTTCATCAATGTCGGTGCTTACATGTACAATGTACAATGTACAGTGTACAGCATGTACCATGTCAACTCTCAGGGTCCATTGGGACACTCTTGCAGCTGCTGACACGCCGTGCCCTGGTAGGGCGCTAAGCAATCACTTGTCAATGCATCGAGTGCCTAGCCGACTGAAGGTAATCATGATCTTTATCACCAACAATATTCCTGCATTACAGCACATTTTTTACAACATTCAAAATAGAAAAGGAATGCCAGATATAGCACATGACACACGCTGTCAGTCTACCTTGAAGTATGGATTGTATGAACTGCGGCCATCAAGGTAGGCCAGGTACTGTGAGACTCCAGTCTTGTTCTCTGGAACATTCAGGTAGTACGATGGGTCCAGGAAAGCTTCTGGCGAAAACTTTACAGCGCTCACATCTGGCATTTAATTTGACACACGCAACAACAACAGGAGAATAAACGGCAAAACTTGAAACGATGTTGCCTACATCCATCCGGACACGGTTATAGAAAGGCCTGTGAGGTGCTCTTTGTCTGCTCAGCTGACAGGAAATAATGCATTTGAGTGACTTGACTCACCACCTGTTGCCACCCTTCCGAACTGATTGCATTTCGGTGTTGACGTTGTTATCAGGTCCAGTCGATGATACACAGTACCAGCTGTTAGAGAGAAAGAGAGATAAACCGGTAGATCAATAGAGAGAGAGAGAGAGAGAGAGAGAGAGAGAGAGAGAGAGAGAGAGAGAGAGAGAGAGAGAGAGAGATATGTACTTGTACAAGTAGATAAATAGAGACAGGGAGAGAGAGAGAAGGGAAGGGAGGGGGAGAGGGAGCCAGGGAGGGAGAGAGGAAGGGAGGAGGACTCTGGGGAGGGAGGAGGAGGGAGGAGGGAGGGAGGAGGAAGGGAGGGGAGAGAGTGAACAAAGAAAAGAGAACAGATGATTGTCACATCAACCCATCTCACGCCACCCTGTACCCCAAAGTTCAGACCTGTATCAACGACATTGTTCACTGGATGAGCACTTGGTACCTTAAGCCAAATGTGACCAAAACCGAGCTCCTCCTTTTTTCCCCCTCCCACAGATCCAGTGCCCATCTTCCACTTTCCCGATGATCCCGGTCACCCTATCTCTGTAGCGCCCCACCATAAACACCTTGGCATTGTCATAGATTCCGCCCTCTCCTGGTCTCACCATGCTGATCATGTGTCGTCCAAAGTATGCCGATCTGTCGGCATAATGTCAAGTCACTTGTCCCATTTGCCCCAAAATTGCCGGATTAATTTTTATAAATCATACATTCTTCCCCTCTTCACGTACGGCTTCCCTGCCTGGTCCACCATTGGCAAAACCCACATAGGTAAATTAGAAGTTCTCCATCGCCGGATACTGCGCATCATATTTCGTACAGATCGTTATATCTCAAATCCAGACTTGTATGCTGCATCCACTACCACTCTGCAACATTACCCGTTGATGCTTCCAAGTGCACCCTGGCACATTAAATTTTTCTTGACCAGCACCCTGCTCATTTACAGTCCCTTAACCTTTTGAGCACGCGTGACGTTCTGACACGTCATGACCACTGCCACTGTGACACGCGTGAAATTCTAGGACGTCACGAGTCAGTGTGGAACTACATCGATCCCGCGTTTCTTCCGTGGCGTGGCGTCGAGCTGTACCGCTGCACAGAGGACTCCTAGTATGTACGCGTACCGTAAAAAAAAGTGCGAGTCGCTCCGTAAGTTTGAACTGGAGTTACATGCGCGTGCATACATTTCCAAATACCAATTTCGCGTATAACTACCTTATGAAAACGGTCATAACTTTTGTAATCTTTGTCGTATTTTCAAAACGAAAACAGTTCTGTGCTCAGGATACATGAAAGAATCGTTTAAAATCAAGTTTGCTCACATAGAGTGAATTAAAAATTTTACTGCGTGGCAGAGGTTTTCAATGGGCCCGGGCTCAAAAGGTTAATTGGTTCAATTCAGGTGGCACCACCCGAAGCTGCGTTCGTCTCCCCCTAGCAAGGTCTACCCTATTCGTAAATTCCCCTTTCTTTTCCTCCTACTCCACGTGGCTCCAACTGCCTCCCAGTGTTAGACAAGCTCCAGATATGCCCAAATTCCGTACCCTCGTCAGACAGCACTTCAGTATCTCCCTGTAAACAAAGTCACAGTCACCACTTCCGCTGCATAGCTCGCTGAGCATCCCATTGCTTTGTAAGTTGCTAATCCCTTCCCACTTTGTGTACGTGCTCTTCATTTTCTTTTTTTCTCTTCTTCCGTGGTTGGTCTCACCATCTCCTCAATTCAATTGGCTGTCTTGACATGCCACGAGGTGCAGAAATAAATAAATAAATAAAGGTACTCCTAGCTCAGCGGAACATTGATCACTGAAGGTCTAGCTCTAGCTGGAGAAAGTGGAGTTAATGATAAATGCTAGTCACAAGTGACAAGACAACCATGGATCACACTCCTAACTGGATTAGCTCCGAACAACGTACCTGATCTCGGAGCAGGCTGTGGTGATATGCTGGCAACTTCCCGGGAAAGGTCCATGTTTAGAACAACACAGAGTATGAATGATGTGCCATCCACCTGTGTGCCGGGGAAGCATAGCAACGGCCACAACACCACCATGTTAGCTGCGGACCAGGATTTCTTGCATCAATACGGAGCATGTCAATCGGCAAACAGCACAGTTTCTACAAACACCTGGACTGCCGCCGCCACCAGTAGATGTCTGCCGAGCAACGCCAATTTGACAAGGAACAAGCATGATGATCGTGCATACAACATTACTACCGGGACAATTGAACTCAGCCTATGAGTGTAGCAGTGGGGTGGTTGTGCAAACCTGACCAATACCGAGCTGCACTGCTAACCCCATTGCTGCGGTATGCCACCCAGTGGATAGACCATGCCAATGTCCAGGTACAGTAGAGTCACGCGCTGAAGAACGTGGAGCCCAAGAACGTCCAGCCTGAAATACTCAGAACGCCACAGCCTAAAGTGGAGAACGGTGGTGTTGGTTTTCTGGCAACTTGTGGGATACATTATGATCATGATGATCCGGTACGGATTATTTCTAAGAACGTGCTATAAGAACGCAGCCAGATTGCTGATAAATAGGAACGTCCCAGGCTAACCCTTTGGAAACAACGTTCTTGGGCGCTCGACTTTACTGGAGGCCTTTACTAGTGATGACTCCTCCCCTCCCCTCCCTCCCCCCCCCCCTTCCCTCTCCACAGCACCTCTATTCAAGTTAGAGACATGCTCACACAAACCTTCATCGCGACCTAGTGACTACCCTCCCCAGAGTGGGCCGACCCTGTTACATACCGGCTTCCAATCATAAGATGATAGGACCGTGGTGGCCTGAGCTCCCTCGTACGGACTGATGCCAGAGGTCACAAAGCGTGTCGCATTGATCACAGCATGTCCTGGTGTTTTTCTGAAGCAAAAACAATAGCAACAAAGTGTCAAAATTCAACCACGCTTGCCCAGTGGCCAAGGCAAGTAGAAAGAGTGAATAAAGAGCTAGATGTAAGTTGATTGTGCACACAGCAACATGCAATGCGTTCACTCGGAAAACACGGACAGGAACTTACGCCCGCATCTCGTAATATATCTGGTCACGGAACGCAGCATCGACTTCCAGCAAGGTGATGTCTTGGAAGGTTGGGTCAGAGGACAGGTCTGCTGGCTGGTTGAGAAGCGGATGCAGAATTGCATGGCCTGCGGCAGGCAACAAAACAGCATCAAGATGCTCTCCTGGGTGAGAATTTGGAACCAACCGTTGTACGTGGTGTAGCCGAGGACTGCTTATGTGTTGCGGGTTAGAGGTGTGGTGAAAAGATAAAAAAAAACACTTGTTAATTAATGCACCTTGGTGTTCCAAGCAACGAGACACTGCACCAGCTCCTGGGCGGTGTTCAGATGGTAGAAATTGCAACAGACTTTATCCAGCACTTCCCCCCCCCCCCCCCCCAAGATCACGGTGCCTGCATATACCAGTACAGTGTAGTACATGGGTGCATGGCTGGACGACGCAGAGCATGCGGACAACATCACATCAGTGTTCAAATGTAAACGTACCTTCCGTGTTGATCATGAACGCATACTGATGCTCGTCGTCGGAGAAATAGGAGATGTCGCCAAACAGGTCGGTGATAGTGATGTCAACACCGACTACGCCACGCAGAACGGGAGTGGAACCCGTCGCACCGCCAAACGTGTACACGGGAGCGGCCACAGTCAATATCACCCCTGAACATAGCAAGCGTGAGATCACATAGAAAACACACTGATAGGCGTCGCTGCAGGTCCTTACAATATGAGGATGTACTATGGTGCTGGTGGTGAGTTGCGAAAATTAACACAACCTTATACAGTCAGACCATGCGTATCCGGTCCTCTTTTATCCGGACCCCTCGCCATGCGGAAGAAAATCGTTGGTTACCGATTTACTTGAAGTACAGTATAATTATGTCATGCATACACACAGTATGTGTGTCCGATTATCCGGTTCTCTCGCCTATCCCGATAATTTCGTGGAAAACAGATATGTGTGGTTAAAGGGGAAGTATACCCTAAAATCAAATTTTCACCAGTTGTAGTCTTCAGGGTGCTGAGTCGAATGGTCTTGGTCCGAGGAAGCTGAGACGCTCCCTTCCTCCTTTATTCCCAATCGAACTCGCGCACTTCCACCGAAACTGGGTGACTGCGCCCTACTAGATGGGGATTTGTATGCAAAATGTCACTAAAAGCGCCATTTCGTTCTTATAAAAGCACGGATGACCGCCATTGGCCCATATGTTGTAGTCTTTTGGACGCTGAGTCGACTGGTTTTGGTCCGAAAAGGCTGCGATGCAGCGTTCCTCCTTTATTCCCAATCGAACATGGTTGAATAAGCGGTCACGTGCTCCTGCGTACACCAGTCACCTGGTCACCGTGCCTGCAGGGTACAACTTACTAGCCTGTTTGACCTTTTTTGGGTGCAGTCCTGTCACTCGAGTTGAACCTTGGTGTGAAAGTTGTCGCCTGCTGGCGCGGTGACCAGGTGATTTGGGCACCCAGGAGCACGTGACCGCTTGTTCAACCATGTTCGATTGGGAATAAAGGAGGAACGCTGCATCGCAGCCTTTTCGGACCAAAACCAGTCGACTCAGCGTCCAAAAGACTACAACATATGTGCCAATTGCGGTCATCCGTGCTTTTATAAGAACGAAATGGCGCTTTTAGTGACAATTTGCATACAAATCCCCATCTAGTAGGGCGCAGTCACCCAGTTTCGGTGGAAGTGCGCGAGTTCGATTGGGATTCAAGTAGGAAGGGAGCGTCGCAGCTTCCTCGGACCAAGACCATTCGACTCAGCACCCCGAAGACTACAACTGGTGAAAATTTGATTTTAGGGTATACTTCCCCTTTAAGCGAGGTCCAACTGTAGCTCTCGAAAAAATGACCGTCTGTAGAAATTCACGAAAATACGGCGCAGTGGATCGCCATGATAATTATGGTGAGCCACTGGAGGCGAGTGCACGGAAAATAAAATACACGTGAAAGTTCATTTCGCATACTCAGCCAGTTTTGCACTCCGACCTGCAGACGACGTAAACACAAAGTTCAGTGCTTTCATACGGAACGAGAAAGTTCATGCACACTTTCGTTTTCCAGAACCTCTCTAATGGGATTCTCCTACAGTTTCTTCTCAAATCATGCACTTCATACCTAGCCCAAACGCATCGTAATAGGGATTCGTATAAATCACTGACGATGATGTGTCCTCCGATGCAAAGAACGAATAGAATCTTGTGAGACTGGCACGCAGATTCTGAAAATTGGAGACCAGCCGATACTCTCCTAACTGTAAGGACAGAAAGAAGGTGCAGAAATAGTAACCATGGCAACTGGTTACAAAGTAAATAATATAATAAGTGCAGTATTTCTGAGCACCAATCCAAACCTAGGCAATTCATGAACACAGGTGTAGTGTGACCGTGAACTGAACTGTTTGTATTGGATTGTTTGAACTTTCCAGGGAATGTGGGATATACTATGTGTGTGTGTGTAGGGGGGGGGGGGGGGATATCTTATCACCCCCCCCCCCCCTCCCCAATTCCCACTGCATCAATCTACCTTCCACAAGAGATCTTTAGCAACAACACGCAGCAAAATATCCGCAACAACAAAACATTGAGAACAGCTACATTTAAAGAAAAGTGATCTGAATCCTTACTGCTCGCTGCACACCACTAAGAGGACTGGAATAGCTCTGGGAAGCCATTTTCCGTAGCGTCACCTCACCCGAGCGAACATCTGTCACAAGAAAGAGGTGTTGAAGGAACATCAATTTCAGCACCGTGGATCTATACTCATCTTGAGAAAAAAAGGAGAAGGACAAAATGTTACGAGTTCTGACAAACTATCCACCAACGTAACCAGATCATATACAGTCAGCAAGTGCAACATGTTGTCATTCTCTTTTTCACCATAATTAAATTGGCTCGCCATCCGAGTTCATCTTGAAAAGGAAGAGGATAACTTTACATGCAGCCTTCCTCTGTGTACATGGCGCAGCATGCAGCGTGGACTGGCTAACAGTGGTTGTAGCTGTGTTTTAAACTCACACCCGTGCACTTGACTACAGAAGCAGCACATTAGCAAACCCAGGCAGACAGGCTCTTTGCATTGTGGCCGGCATCATCATCAGTGTTACCCGGCACAGCGTCCGGTGTATATTGTATTTTCCCGGTAGTATAAGCCGCGCCCAGATTTTCTGCCACGAAATACTGACATCCACCCCGACATCCACCCAGACATCCACCCAGACATCCACCCTGACATCCACCCTGACATCCACCCTGACATCCACCCCGACATCCACCTTGACATCCACCCTGACATCCACCCCGACATCCACCCTGACATCCACCCAGACATCCACCCTGACATCCACCCTGACATCCACCCTGACATCCACCCCGACATCCACCTTGACATCCACCCTGACATCCACCCCGACATCCACCCTGACATCCACCCAGACATCCACCCTGACATCCACCCTGACATCCACCCTGACATCCACCCCGACATCCACCCCGACATCCACCCAGACAACCACCCAGACATCCACCCTGACATCCACCCTGACATCCACCCTGACATCCACCCCGACATCCACCTTGACATCCACCCCGACATCCACCCCGACATCCACCCTGACATCCACCCTGACATCCACCCTGACATCCACCTTGACATCCACCCTGACATCCACCCCGGCTGTTTATCACCTTCACCATCATAGGACTAGTGTAAGCTGCACCGGCTTTCCGTCGGCTGAATCATAATTAAACATGCATTAACCCAAATCATTATCATCATTCAGGCGGTGGTGACTTACTGTTTCCCATGGCATAGGTGAGTACGACTATGCTGTAGTTGAACTGGCGTGCTGCCCTCTCCTGCTCGGCCAGTATGGTACCCTCCGAATCGGTCGGTACTCCATCAGACAGAAACAGAATCACTCGATCTGTAAAGCACGCAACAGTTTAGCCGGCGTGACCGGGTCGAAATCAGACAGGCGGCGTAATCAGGGCCCGATGACACCGTTAGCTACTGTGCTAGTATTACATGGCCAAGCTGTGGGAGCGCTGCAAAAGATGGGACACCAGCTGCTTGGAATGCATTTATGCATATCTGGATCAACCAGACGTCAGTGCTTTGACTTTGCTTTGACTTTGCTTTGACCACCAATACTAGTAACTATGCATGTACTATTTTCCTAGGTCAGAGGTAAGAGCCGCCGCCGCCGCACAGCCTTTGTACAAATATCAGGTCCTATGGCCTGCACCTGGAACTTCCATTTTCATACAAACAAACACAAGCTGGAATATGACAGTTTGCCTCCAAGAGGAGAGGAGAGTTTATACTGTGATGCAGCTTTGACCCCCTGAGCAAGTGGACTAGAACATATCATCAGTCCGGGACAAGCCCAGTGACTCTGTGATGACTGCACAAAAATGCAGACATCCCACCCAGCCAGTCCACCACTATGTTGTTGTATACCTGAGAAAAGACATCTGCAGTCAGCAGAATCAATTTATTGGATGGGGAGTGAGCCTGAAGGGGAGGGGAGAGGAGGTGGAGGAGAAGGAATGCGATTTGCACCAAAAAACTGGTGGGCTAAAACCGTCTCGACTGTTTTTAGGCAGTGGCGGAGACAGTAAAAGGAGAAAAAAGAAAATAAAGTGACTGCCACTGTGGACCAATGCCTGGGTTTGAGGGAAAACATGGTGCAGCTTCCAGTGTGAGTTCAGTGAAGTCTGAAAGCTCTTCGAGCTTGGGAAGAGGCCAGCTCTTAGTGTAGTGCAATTACACCGTAGTGGTGAAACGAATGTCAAAACCTACCAGTCGAATATTCTTCAGCTTAACGAACGAATGAACGAATATTCTTTTGGTAACACTGATTACATCACATGCCTTCCTCTCAGTCATTTGATGGATATTGTCAATACTAATATATTATTAGGTATGACAAACGGTAGTGCCACGTAAAATATACTGCCACATAAGGCTACTTCGAAGTTCATAAATGTTATGTGGGGAACATTGGCAGTCCAGTATGGACATACATGTGCATGCATGCAGTACAAAGTCACAGGCAGGCTGTACGCACTGCACTGTACCGTGTTCGGCGTCCATGTATGTACATGCACTGCATTCGAAGTGACGTAACGAATACTCGAATGTGACTTTTAACGAATATTCGAATGTGACAAACCGAACGAATGTTCGAATATTCGAATATTCGTTTCACCACTAAATTACGGACGAGACTATTGTACTGAAGTCGTGTTGTGGCGTCGTGGAGTTAAATAGCAGCTCTGTGCGGCGAAAGCATACAGTGCATGCAGTGTTGTGGCTGGGTGCAGTGAAACAGTGGCTCTGTGTGGCGAAAGCATCTACAGATAAACTGGCTGCAGCGCGGTGCAGCACAAGCAAGTAGACTAGAAAAACGAACGAAGGCTCGACTTGTTTGGCGAACACCCACCCCCGGCCCTTTAGAAACTGGTGTGGCGAGTTAAAACCGAGATTTTAAGGGTACCCAACGATCCTCGCTGGGTTGCTGTCCGCCAACCAAGTGCTCACAAACTGCCTCACAGGGACTTCAAAAAACAACACCAGCGGCCAGTCACGCCAACACTTTTCCCGTCACCTCAGCCAGAAAATGTAGCTGGAATTTAGTGCCGAATTTCTGGAGCTCCTTCTCAATTGGTGCGAGGAGAAGGAGGAAGAGGAGGAGGTGAAGAAGGAGAGAGGGAGGGAGCAAAGGAAGCAGGGGCGGAGGGATGGAGGAGGTGAAGGAGGTGAAGTTGGAGGAGGAGGAGGAGGAGGAGGAGGAGGAGGAAGATGCAGAGGAGGACGAGAAGGAGGAGAAAGAGAAGGATGAGGAGGAGGTGAAGAAGGAGAGAGGGAGGGAAGGAGGCGGTGAAGGCGGTGGAGTTGGAGGAGGAGACAGAAAAGGAGGAGGAGAAAGAGAAGGAGGATGAGGAGGTGAAGAAGGAGGGAGGGAGCGAAGGAAGCAGGGAGGGGGATGGAGGGAAGGAGGCGGTGAAGGCGGTGGAGTTGGAGTTGGAGGAGGTGGGGTACATGTACATTCCCATATTCTTGCCTTGCATCAGAACTGTTGGAGGGTGTGTGTGGGGGGGGGCAAGGAGGATGGGCAATACAGCTTACCTCTATTGGGTATTTGAGGAGTGTTTGCATAAATCTCGTATGCTCTCTTAATGGCAGTGCCGTAATACGTACTGCCTGTGATCGAAGCCCAACACAAGTACACACACATACACAAATACACACACACACATATACACACACACACATATACACACACACACACACACACACACACACACACACACACACACACACACACACATATACACACACATACACACACACACAAGAAAAATATAGGCACATGTACCTGCAGCAATCCCTGTGCTACTACAGTTAGCATGATTGTTATCATAGCAACAGATCACTATGGTGACTAGTCCATCACATTATTTTAAATCAGACCATAGTACAGATAAGTTTCCGATACTAGTATATTTAGCATGCATACCCATAGACTGCTGCTCTCCAAAGACCTCCGCTCCAATCCTGGTTGAGTTATATATCCTTTCCTGCCATACTCAGTCCTCAGACCAGTGGGTATCCGCTCTCCCGCCTCACCTCCGTATTGCCTGATTTTGAGCCTCCTCATTTACAGTTGTGTTCGTTGGACTCGGACACTTTAGTGAGGTGCCTCCGATCACTGCCCCATTTCATCATTATTTTATCCGAACTATGGCTGGTTATATTGAATCGCCCACACCATCTCTGTATTGGCTTGGGCCACATGAATGCGATGAATAAAAATTGAAAGAAGGACATTCGCTGGTCAACTGCAGCTCTCTCCGACCGTGTGACTTACCGCCTTCGACTAGTCTGTCAACATGGTAGCGCAGTAGGCGCTTGTTGTACGGCGTTGCCTGTCCCAGTGCGTTGTTGAAGCAAGACAAGTTGCTAGATGCAGGGGCAATGTTATCTGGCCTTGAGTTGAATGGGAGAACAGTTATCTACAGCAAAGATAAAATACCAAAAAAACAAAAACAAAAAACAGTCATGCTGGTACTGGTTCTCCCACACCCTGGTCTTCTCCTAGGCCGGACCATTAGTACTACCAACGATCCTAGCAGCAGATATGATGCCTAATGGCAATACAAAAGGTTCAATGAGCAGATACCGGTGTGCCTAGCACTAGCCAGTACATACGCCAAACTCTGTTACTCACATTCATGTTCAGCGGCCTTAGCACATACCAGTCACTCGCATACAAATCCTCATCTCATCTACATGTATGCCTTGCAACAGTGATGATCATGCACTTCCTGCAGTGTTATCAATTCCAGACCTAGGCCTGCATGTGCTGAGAAATTCTGAGAGTCAAATAGAACGGAAGCACTAGAGAGCAGCCCTAGCGACAACTTGGAACATCCTTGCCGGGGACCAGCGAACGATTGCAGGGGGGGGGGGGGGGTTGTAGGGGGTAGCATGCATATCAGACAGACAGTTACACTGTCGTTAGTGTGATTCTAAGCTTCTTACCCTGTCCCGGTCAGAGAGAACACTAAGAATGGACAAGATGGCATCCTTGGCAAGGTCAAGGCGGGTCTTCGCTGTGCCGGAGACAATTGCACCTACAAGTAAATATACAGGTATGTAACATGAACACAAGAATGTGTGGACAATATTATGTTGCAGCAGATCCGCATTCTATCTACATGCTATCTACATGTATCTCCAATGCTGAGATAGTTGGCCAATTACTAGCAACATTTTTTACACAGTTACAGCTGGTTTTACACAGTGCAGCACCCAAACTCAGTGTGTCTGAAGTCACTACCTCGGAGAGTAGTACTGCTTGGGTTGACAGCCCAGTACTATCCCAAGTTTAGCCTCACCAGCATCAAAGTCGTCTATTTCTTCTCAACCCGTGGACTTTATCCAGAGTACATAAGTCATGTGTGTCACGTCTTGATTCTCGGCCTGGTGCCTGTAAGACGCAATAATATTGTGTGCTCGGTTGCCGTTATCGTTACCAGGGTATTATTATTATAATGTACTGGTGACGGCAAACACGCATGCACTGAGCAAGCACACATGTGCTCAGGGGTCATATACTAACAAGGCAGGCAAGTATTGTATGTCTGCATACTATCAGACACCATGCCACGGTGCTTGCAAAGAATACTCTGATACGCTATTAGATCCAGTCCGGCACTAGAAGGCAATATCCAGATGTGGCCCTTGCTGGACAACAGGTCAGAAAAGTGATCAATGCACAGGTACAGTACATGTTTTGGTGGAGAGCATGTCACGTGAGCAAGGTGGAGGACACCGTGTTCATGTTTGAACAAACAAGGTTTATCTGCTACAGCACATGTACAAGGTAATGGTAGCGGCATGGCGGCCGGTATTGTGTGGATGACGTCATACATGTACAGCAATCTCACCCATGGAGCCACTCGTATCCACCACTATCAGCACATCCTTATCAGCCGGCACTGCACCAGCAACATACCATGGCCTGCAAAACAAGATCATGGCATAGATCAAAGACCAACAGTGATGGCTAGCGACACGAGTCAGACTATTGGCCAATACAGCAAAGTTGGTCGCGGCCGGCTGAGCGGCCAAACATTGTCCTTACATCACATGCCTCCTCTGATCACATGAAGGACCTTGTCAGGAACATACACTCCGGGCAGGATAACAAATGCATTTCTGATTGGCTATGTTCTCTCTCTCTCTCTCTCTCTCTCTCTCTCTCTCTCTCTCTCTCTCTCTCTCTCTCTCTCTCTCTCTCTCTCTCTCTCTCTCTCTCCATCTCTTTTTCTCGCTTCCTCATATCGGACTGTTGCTGTAGATACCAGTGCTATGGTGATCTGGCAGAAGTACGAGAAGGAGCAATTATTAATCAATTCCTCCACGAGACAATTACACACACACATGTATATGAGATGAAACCTGACATCTGACGAAAGAAGCAATGCTGACTTCAATCATCAGCTCAGCCCTACCCTAGCGCATGATTGCCTGGAACCGACAATTCCATCTAACGTTATTTGCAGATTAGAGATACAGCTTACCTGTATCTGGGGTCATAGGAGGAGCAGTCGGATGTGTTGAAGCCGGGAAATATTGTTGCATAGCCTTCCTCAGATCCGTAGTACTGAAACTTCACCTCGGGGACTTCGGCTAGGTTGCTGGCGGCTGCTTGTCGGAACGTAACGCTGATAGTGCTGCGGTACGTAGAAGCCGTGGCGGAAATTCTGTCACAGCTCTGTGCGGGTGTCACCTGAAGTTCGAAAGATAGAACAAGGCTACTAGCATTGTAGCAACATGCTCTATCTATCTCTCTCCCTCCTACCCCATTCCCTGCCTCAGCCCTCTCCTCCGGCCCTTTCTAACCCGTACTCGTTTCCTCCGTATCCTTCTAGTTCTAACCCACCGACCCACCCGTCCATTCCACAGTGTGACTGTCTAACTATGCTTCTAGCGTGCACTGGATATAAGAAACAAGATTGAAATAACGTAATGTGCACTGTACATTCGCAATGCTGATAACACGGTTACAGAATCACAACATAACAATCATCTTGTAGAGAAATACATGTAATTACCGTCGTGTTGAAGCGAGAGTCAAAGACGACATCAGAACTTCTCACACTGCAGCACAGCGGTTCAGTTTCTCTGGTGCGACCTTGACTATACGCACCTCTGGCAGCTGATTGGAGATTGCGTGCAACACGAAAGCGGGTCTGGAGCCTACTTGCCACATTGCTTGCCAGCTGCATGTCACAAGAAGGCAATGAAACTATGTTATAACGTTATTATTATGAAACACAAGGAGCCGTCCATACGTACTTGCATGCATGGAGACACTTGTCATGAACATGAATTTTGTGTATTTTTGTTAGAGTGGGAGGGGGATTGACTAGTTTTGCTTCAGGAGACATCGACACAGTCATATAAGGAAGTACAGTGCAGCTCAATGAAGTCTGATTGCGTGAGTCAAGTTAGCGCCATGCAGTATCAAGTGATTACATGTACCTGGTTCAGAGCAACTGATCCGCTCACTGGGGCAGGTGATGTGCGTGCGGCTGATTGAAACCCACTCTGCAAAACAAATAGATCGCAGGATAGAAAGCGGCACAACACACACACACACACACACACACACATGTTGCCATGGTGACAGGGATGACTTCACAAGTACTGTTGCAAAAGAAGGATCCACGAGCGGGATTCGAACACAGCACCCCTGTCTTTCCGGGACAGCGCCCTACCGATTAGGTTACCGGGGATCACACACACTCATGGGTCCTTCTTGCTACAGTACGTGTTCCCAGTACAATCAGCAGCTCACTATCAACTCTAACCTAGTAACCATGGTATCTACAACTGTACGGACCGGTGGAGAGGCTGAGCTGTGATTCCAAGTGGAGGCCTGGTACATGTGGCCTCCTTATTGGCTGACATTATTCGTTCTTGTTTTCTCACAAAAGAGAGGAAAGTAGCGGCACTACTTCTATGAAATTGAACACCTGATTACATATTGTCCCTACACGGGCCTACAGCCGACAACTCGGTCGCAAACAAAATACAGTCCGCAGACCTCGCTTATCCACTCCTCGCTTAGCCGGATCCCTCACCATTCGGAAGAAAATCGTTGGTTACCGATTTACAGCATATGCCATGCATACACACATGCACAGTATGTGTGTTCGATTGTCCGGTTCCCTCGCCTATCCGGATATTTTTGGTGGAAAACGGATGTGGGCGGTTGTGTGAGGTCTGAGTGGATAGGTGATATCGATAGCCAAATTTCAGTGATCGCCGCTCCACCCCTATGTCAAAGCCACACAACCAAACAAACACACTCTTACCAGTAGTACTTCATCGCACGTTCTCGTCTAAGCCACACGTTTATTTCTCAAAATAGAGGTAGACCCAAAATCCGATCCGCCCTGGTTTGCAGTTCATTCCCCAAACTCCGCCCTGGTTTGCAGTTCATTCCCCAAACTCCGCCCTGGTTTGCAGTTCATTCCCCAAACTCCGCCCTGGTTTGCGGCCATTCATTCCACAAACGTTTTGTGAAAATGCATTTCAGCACATACATTCACGACCTGTTTGCAAGCACACATTGCAAACAGGTCGTGAATGCAATAAATGTAATTATGTCGTTTCCAAGAGGGGGGGGGGGGGGGGGGGTAGGCCTTGGCGGATAATGCTCGAAAAGGTGGCAGATTCTGCTTTTTTTGCACCGAAATTGGCAGAACCATACAAACCTTATGGCGGGCAATTCCTCGAATTCTGCTCCATTTCTTTATCCACATACCAAACATGCATGAATCTTACCAGAAAAAGTACCGAATTCTGCCAATTTTTCTGCCGGCATTATCCGCCAAGGCCTAGGGGGGTGGTTGAGGGGTGGGGCTTATACACAGGTGCGACCTAAAGATGTTCAATTGTGTCAAAGTTTCTGTGTCAGTCTGCATGGTTGCTTGCTGTCAATGCATGCCAAGCATTCCAGTGGCTAAATCACAACACACTTCACAGGTGCATGCACAGCACTTCACAAAATGAATTAGTGCGCATTTTCAGAAAGAGGATAGTTTCATATGAAAAGTACATAATTGCACACAAATCACCGTTCGAACGTTCACTGTGTTCTCTTGATTGTAGATGTCAGTGGACGTGCCTGGACTACTCAAGTGTCTCCCAATTATTTGTCAGTGGACGCCCGGGCGTGCATGCCTGTATCTCTCTGGCTCACCTGCATTGCTGTGACTCCCAACGCATCGTCGGCGAATTGTTCCAGTTGAGACTGAAACGCTTGCCCCGTGTACCGCACTACTTCTGACCGGCAGCCGTTGTACACCAGCAACGCACTTGTTATCACCACTACCAGCGTCGAGTACTCGTTGTGCGCACTCACAGACATACTGGCAGTGCCTGTGGCTATGTCAGGGACGAAGAAATCACTTGGCTGAATGGACACACGACGATGAAGAGTACGAGTGGAGAGTGTTTTGAAAAACGCGACTGATTATTCTACTACCGGTACACAAAATCAATCCGGTGATACAGTCAATATTCTGACTTTTGTTTGAACTTACAGTAGATGTACTTTGGGTGCCAAGTCCGGGAAAAGGGTGTTGATAGATCTGCCAGTAGATCTACGACGTTGTTGTTGTTGAATTAATTTTTATTTTGTATCGCAGACCAAACGCCGGCGGGGCAATGGTGCCCAATATTATGATGGCGATAAAGTAACGGCCGAGAGCCAAGGATACAACAAGCAAGCCTCCACGAAAGAGAGAAAAACACAGAAAACACAGACTGCAAATACTCAAAAAGAAAAAGAGAAAGGGGAAAAAAGAAAAAAGAAGAAGAAGAAAGCACGTAGCTTCGTAGATGAAGATCTACCGACGGTTGGCAGCAGCTGTTCTGAAAGTAATTAGTTACGTCGACAAAATACAAAAAATGACAGTCTACATATAGCTCGTGCGTGTCGCACTGACGTGATGGTTGGCTCAAGGCCAGCCTAACTGAGCCTATATTCCCAAACCTCCGGGCCTGAATAACCCGTGCTTCTCCGGCTTTCCCTACCAGTACCTGTGGCTGTAGATCTACCCGAGAGGCGACTTTTTGTTCTCACACAGGATGATGCTACCATGATGTCAAGAAGACAAGATTGCAGAGCTGCATGAAATCCGCCTAGTGTAGTAGTGATTCTCCTCCATAGCCTCAGGAGTAGTATGTTACTAACAGTTACTCCCTGATAGCACCGGTCCGCCCCTTTTTCGTGGCTTTCGGAGTTACATGCAGCACGCCAATGCTACGTGCATGAAGTCTAATGACAACTACTAGTACTTGTGTAGTACTACATGTAATCATGGTGATGATGTAGTAACGCTCTTCAGGCACAATCTTCCTCAGCCTACTCAAGCTCAACTGATGAGGGGTGAATTCCCCGAAACACTGTGTATTGAGCAGGGAGTGGTGCTTTCTTGCAGGTTTGCCGAGTCGAAGGTTCGATGGACTTCTCGTGTGCTCTGGATGGCAGTCGTGAGTCAGTCAAGTGTCAAGTAAAGTCGGCGGAATAGCGCGAGCTCCGGTGTGGGGAGCAAACCCTTTCTTACAAACTTAGTATTAAAGTACTTTAAAACTTACTTCTTTGTTACAAATACACTGAGGCAGAAGGCAGAAACGTAGTTAGCATTGTTAGAGACCCCGGTCGTACCACTCCACTGACTGATTAGTGATATCAAGGGTACATAGGCTAACATAGCCCCAGGGCCAGGGCCAGGGGGTTATAAAAATGCAGTCTTGGTACATGGTGATATACAGTGCTGGCAACTGAAATCCGACTCCCTTGCAGCTTGGCGGCGCGCCGCCAAGCTGCAAGGGAGTCGGATTTCAGTTGCCAGCACTGTACATGTACTTGGACTTGCAGTCACTGCTCGACGACTGCTCGTCGAGTGCATGCTGCTCGTCTCGAGCTCTATAGTATAACCGAAACTACCAAAAATTCCGAGGAGAGAGATTGATGGAGCACGGGACCTACGGATGATGACCAACTTACTAGCCATGTCCAGTTCTGAACTTCAACTGAAGGGAAACGGGCAAGTGGTTACAGATAATCACAATCATGCCCAGCATACCGGTAAACGACGTGCCTCCTACTGTGTCCTGAGTCCTACATCACTACATCCGCCTTCTACATAACGTCATAAGGCTCCATCAATGCATCATCGTCGGATTACCGGTACGCGGTATGACCGCATGTCTTGACCTGTTCGACCTAGGCTCCCAGGCATGCATGTATCGTGACCAGCGGCAACTCAGCAGGCTGTGTTGGTATTTCTGTGCCAAGATGATCAAGGCTTGGGTCGGGATCGAGTGGACCGTTCAGTGCTTTATGCGCAGTGTTTTAATAAAATAAAACCAGCGAGTCACGGGAGTTGGAAAGACTACTAGTACTAGTATTGATTCCGCCAACTACTAGTATAATACAGTATAACTTGTACAGTCATGATAGATTCGAAAAAGGACCAATATTTCATTGCGATGGTTCAAAAACGTAGCTGTCCTCCAATTTACCACCCTGTACATGTAGTACCCAAAATATCGCGACCAGAACCGTGCAACGACGTGCGACAAGACACAGGGTTGACGGTTCGTCAAATCCCTCTTCTGCTATTTCACAAGCAAGACTGATAATCGGGATTATCCTCACTGTATTGGCCTGACGGGATCACAAGTACGTGCTGACCACTGACCAGGGTTTTGAGCCATAGACATAATAGTGTCTGGTGATCGATAGTGACATACACTGCTAAAATAAGAAAGGGTGCTAAAATACATGATTGGTTGAGGGAAAGATGCAAACGGGGAAAGTCTGAAGAAAAGATTGACTGTCACCATGGTCACCAGCAGGACTCGAACCAGGGACCCTCGGTTGATCGAGGCCAGCGGTACTCTAATCACTGAGCTATGGTGTAGCTGTCATCCCAGCAGGTAGTAAGTGCTAAAATACTAACAAATACTGCTGCTGCGGATGATGTTATAATTATTGACACCGTCGCAGCAAGGAGAGAGGCCGTTAATTAACGTTGCGCTGAGTTTCACGATGCATCACACGATCGCCAGGCGCCTACTATTTAATAGTCATGTAGGTTGTTCGAGCTCCCTATTTGCCTATGAAATCGAAGTTACCATGACGTCCTGACTTGGTGGACACTTGCCGATAACTACCAAACATGGGGTTCTTTTCAGCACCGTGTGACCAGGGTGACCACATCCTTCGTCCTCTTCTGTTGAGAGCCGCGGTTCCTGTCAGAGCTAGTCCGGCCTTTCCGCATCCATAGGAATGCCACAACCTTCAACTCAAGGATCAACTGAGGCGCACGCGCAACTCCTAAAGCCGGTGGGCCATGGGAGGTGAGTAGGCCATTTTGTCCTCGTGCCGGGCCACGAGTAAGTCTCCTCTAAATCTAGTAATACCTCTTTAAGTCTTTATTCTTTACCATGTTTATTCTCTCTTAAAGTCCCCGGCTCCGAGTTTACTGCCATGGTTAATCTTGTAAGTCGCCTCTTTTACCATGGTTATTCTCAGTTTGTTGTTACTGTATTTGTACTGGGGGGGGGGGGGGGGGCTGAAGAAGATAACATGGGTAGGATGTTGAGCCCACAGCTGCATCTATGCTGGATGGCTTGGATGAGAGGAGAGAGAGGAGAAATCAGCAGCAGGGAGGCAACTCTAAACTATGATTCACAATACCACGACCGTGAGAGACCCATCCCAGACAATGCATGCATGGCTGTACTGCTGTGTGCTGTGGGAAAGCGGCCAAAAGGGATAGGACCGTTGTGGAATGTGGTTGGTTACTACCAATAGAATCAGTCAAACTACTACGGTATCCGATGCAGTCCATGGATCCAGGCACCCTACACTACTACTGTAGTAGTGTATGAGATATGAGACCCTTTTGTAGTCTGCAGTCATGATTGAGAAAAGATCAAAGA